TTAGTAATAATTTTTAATTAAAAATTTTAAATTTGACTTATATGATAAACAGATAAAATAAAATAATAAATAAATAAATTCTCTCTTATTATGCAATTAAAATAAAAAAATATTATAATAATAACAGTTTTAAGAAAAGTGCAATCTTAACCAATTTTCTTCTTCTCAAATTTATACCTGTTCAAAAAAAAAGAAGAAAGATGTTATAGTAATAATTAATAAATACCCATTCAATTAAAATTATTTAGAAGTATTTTATAAAACACTTTTTATTGTATTTTGTATTTAAAGATATAAATTTGTTAAATAAAAAAGCGCTTATCAAATAAATTTTTATAATATTTAGAGAAAAAATATCTTAAAATTATATGATTTTAATAAATTTTTTAATAAAAAATAAAATGATATATTTTAAAATAAAAGCAAGATTAATTTGGTCCTTTGTGTTAGTATTTTATTGAAACAAAGTTTTATGTGTTTTTCCTTGTTAATTTTTTAAAGGTCCACTTAAAAACACTAATCTTTTTATTATAAATAATTAATTTTAATTAATGTTATAATAAATTTAATTAATATTTTATATATTTTTACAATAGAAAAAAAAACTACTATTACAATTACAACAAAGCCCAGCTCAGCCGAGCCGAACACAGCACTTGGAAGGCTAAGTTCTTATTGATAAAATGTAATAGGCTTAAGTATAAATAAGATCCCGGACTGAATGAGTGATTAACTGACCTGACTGCCCAGTTCAAACTTCAAACGCAGGGATGACAACACTTTCCCTCTTCTATAAAAGTGAAAATAGGATTTGTCATCTTTTAAAAATGAAAAAAAAAATCTTTTTTTTAATTCATCGAATGTTAAATTATATAATAGAAGATAATGATTACTTTCTTTCTAAACCTCTCCTCCTTTGTCCTAAGATTTAAATTTAAAATTCTTAATATAAAGATTCAAAATTTTAATTATTAGGATGTTTCTTGTAAAAAAATAAAGAAAAGCTATCCTAAAACAATGATTAAATATAATATAAGAGATTTATGTTTTATTCTCTAAATTATATATTAAAAATACAGTCTACAGTTTTAATACACAGTTAATCTAGTAAAAGATTTTTTCAACAACATAATAACACTAATGATTATGTTAACCACTTAAATATATAGTTGATAGGTGAGATAGCAAACAAAATCTCTCAATTCAATGGACATCTCTAAAGATTATGGGCAGTGATTTAATGTGAGTTATTTTGTGAATCAACAATGCCAATAAAATTTAGCATTAGTCAGCTAATCGAGAATTGAAATCAGACAGGGCACATGAAAGTGCCGGAAGCATTTTCCTGGAAAATATTATCTTATTCAATCCCTTTTCTTTCTTTGAGGTCAAATGAATATATTCAAACCAAACTTGTCTCTCCAAGTTGACTTAAAATATTAACAAGGGTTACTTAAGCAAAGCAATTTTTTAACTCATCATGTTTATTAAAGTATTATCAACAACTTATCTTTTCATGACAACCAAAGATTGATGAATCACAGCTATTTTCTCATTCAACATGGGTTTTTCAAATTCAAACAAGAATCATACATAAAGATTGGATTTAACATGATTCCAATATGAATTATCAACTTTAATCATAATAGGAGGAGAAGAATATTGAAAAATTTTTAGGTTTCATTTGGAGATATATTATGGGGTGTGTGGATTGCTTGGAATGGCATATTCTTCTTGGGGTCCATTGAAAGAGAAAGGAGGTGATCTTGTAAAATTTGGTTATCTTCTCTTATTGTTTAATTGCCTTTGATGGTGGGGTGCATTGTGGGAGGATAAGCCAAGATAAGGTTTTGTGGGGTTCCACCATTACCTTCACACTATTTCTATGCCTTTATGAGTTATGTGTGACTTTACTTTAAACACAACTTAAATAATAATAAAGTAAAATGGTTAATTAGGCATCAATCCCACTTAAAGTCTTTCAATAACTTGTACAAGACTTAATTTTGATTAGATTTATGTTGGAAGATTATTGCCATTCACTAAAATAAATATATAGGATAATTCCATTAGAGCTTTTGGACACACCAAAAGAAACCATTAACTTCTCTTTTCATGTGAAAGGAATAAGAGCATGTGTCAATTAGGTAACGAAGGGCTGAATTTTCTGTCATACCCTAGGGTTGGTGTTGCTATCACACCCTATGACTAAATGAGAAGATAAGAATGATATTTTAAAGAACTCATTAATTAAAGGGATAAAAAGGTAAAAATGCAACATTTTAGTGTGACATTAATACTTTAAATGGCAATGATGTAATTATAGTATCATGTAAAATTATAAACTTACAATAATGATATGATATTAAATAATAGATGCGTACAATATCATGTGTGACATACTAAATAAAAATAATTAATCATATTATACTGACACATTATAATTATAAATTTACAATATCACGTAATATTGTAATTGTATAACTTTTGTACTTTAAGTATGACAATAACCTCCTCTTTTATAACTCTTCGACGTCATCAAATGATAGGTAAATAAAGTTTTTTGCATACAACTTATGTAATTTTGAGTTGCATAGTAACCCTCTAATCTTGACCCAAAAATAAAGTTTTTATGAGTTAATACATACCCAAAACTTCAATATAATTAATGCATTGAGATAACACCCTAGGTAAATAGTTGTGCTAAACATGGGGCACTCCCAAAAGGAAGGAAACTATCTCCCCTTCATTGGAGTCCTGTAGAGTTATATAACTTGTGAAGACATCTTGGCCCTGAGTGACCTCTTCTCCCCACATGTACATTGCATTCGGGCAATGTGATATTTCATTCTCCCTTTTTCTCAACACATTGAATCCTGGATACTTTTTCTGCCCAAAAGGGTTTCCTTAGAAGCAAAGAAAATAAGCCAACCCTAACCTTCCGAAAGGAGGTTAGAAAGACAAACGTTATGCACTTTCCGCTCTCCATAAAGGAAAATGGGAAAGATATCTTTTTTCTTTCTGGGGGTAGAAATTTCTAGTTACATGATGTTATAGAAAACACATGACTAAATTAAATTATAACTTACAGCAACGTTTGCACTTTTTTATATAATTCAAACTGAAAAACACCATTCTTTATAACTTATATTTCTTTTGCAAAAGGAAAAGATTTGATGGGTAGACTTCAATCATTAATCATAATAAGAAGAAAAGAGAAACAAGAGTGGGTAAACAGAAAATCACCAACTTAACAACCTGGGGAAGACACTGCAGTTTTTGAAAACATTCAGTAAGTGCTCTAGTTAAATTCCTCCAGCATCCTCACCTACCAAGCACAGTAAATTATCATGTCTAATTTGATTTTCATCAATTGCTTTTCAATGTAAACTTTTTGTGCTTGACAGCAATATTAGCAGTCATGTTCTCTATTAAAGAAATAATTTATTTCAAATTCAAATCACCTTCCTTTCCTTCTTTCTCCACCATATCATGTGGATGTAAATTAGTTTATCAGTTGATTAAAAAACAAGTAATGAACCTTTAAACAATGAACACTGAAAGCCTGTAAAGTATTGGTGATTATGATTCTCTCAATGCACTATGTATAGAGATTCTCTATCTTCTCCAACCAAGTTCTACATTCCTATTTGGGTAAGTAAAAGTGCGCCATGATCATTCTTGAGCATCTCTTATCTGGGTAAAATATTATTAGCCTTTAACTTATAATGTGACCAGTGCTTTCTCCACTCCACTTTCCATTGACTAGATATATTTGGATTGGATTTGCACCAATCACATTTTTTTTACTTCCTTTTGTGGTGGTGTCAAACAGCTGTGACCTCATCAGCTACACATGGTCCAATAAAATTATTGTTGAGAATCCATATCCCATGTTCCAAGCATGGTTTGGACTTTTAATTGGCCTCACTGCCATTTTCTTGTTCTTTATTGGGCCAGAGCCATTGTCTTGTTCTTATTCATATGTAAATCTAGTCACATTTGCATCCTTTTGGTTCCTCCCATTTGCAGTCATTTTATACCCACAGTTCATTGGTTCTTAAATACATCAAAGCTAAATTTGTCACAAGTCTATTCCCAACTACAGTTAAAAAGAATAATTTGAGAGAATGAAAAAATATAATATACAGTTGAGTAAAACCTGAAAAGGGAACTTGGCTTTGTGGGCCAAGTGGTTTTAACTATTCTTATAAGGTTCATATCTTCCTCCCCAATGGCAACGGTTCGAGCCGATCCTATGACTAAAATATTCAAAAAAAACCTGAAAAGGGGATATATAATATCATACCTGCTCTGCCAGTCAATGAATTCAGGAACTCAAATGTATTACTTCACAATAAAGCAGTTTGCAGCCAGTGCCATCCAGATTTACCATCACTAAAATATGCTTCAGCTGATTCCTTGTATTTTTCAAGCTGAAATGTAGTCCACGCAAAGAGAGAAAGTTGATTTTTAATCGATACAAAGATCACAAGATACAAGCAAATCAATCCTCCAGCCTTAGCTTTCTTTGTATGAAAAAAGGAGAGATTTTTCAAGCCCTGAAAAACTGGTCAAGGAATCTGTATATCTTTTTACCCTGTGCTGGCAATGAGCTCTGTGCTTCGCCTCATTTTTGTTTCAGAATTGACATCATCATGTTGGCTGTCTGAATGTTACTTAAGATGCCAATGGTTGTGCCCCCATGGAAGAAAACAGGGAGTTTAATTAAAGCTAATACATAATCCTTCAGTGAACTATCAGGAGATAAGCCAGAGCTGAACAGAATTCACTTGAAAGCTGAGACCGCTGACAGACAATTTGGCCCTTGTTCCACCCTGCAGGAATGTATATGCTGCCCTTGCAATGGGTATATCGTGTGTCGTTGAAATTTATTGCATCTGGCCCTGTCTGAACAAGAGAATGTGCATTGCTTTAGCAAAAAGAACAGTGAAGAATCACAAATTTAAATTGACAAAGACTGTAACACTAGAACCAGCATACAGGTAAATAGGTCAAAGAGTAAAGCTGAAATACTCTGCAATTCAATGCAATTACAGGAATTGCAAATTTATCATAGTAGATTTGACAATCAAAATCCATATTATGAAACTCTAGGCAAGTCCCTTAGTCTCATGTTTACAATGTCAAGTTATGGACTACAGAAGAAAGAAACTAGTTTTTCTAACATACAGTCCAAAATTTCTTATTTAATTCATCACTTTAAATTGAACAAATTTGTGAAAGTTCGCTTCTCATTCAAGAGTCATCTCTGCCAACTTGGACAAAACAGTGGGAAGCACAGTTGCTGCCATCTACAGAGGACCTGGAAAAGTTCCATTTTCCCTTTGCTCATTCCATCTGTCAATCTGCACCCCAAAGGAGTAAGAACATTTAGCTTAAAGTATAAGCAAGGCAGACAAAGGAGGTAAAAGCAAATCTATCAGGTATATAATACTATCAGCAGCCAATGACAGATTGTTGTCTGCAAGGAAAATCTTTAAACATTGTTGTTTAATGGGTATCAAGCTATCAAATACTGAGCTTCTCTAACACTGCAATCCTGGTTTTAATGCATGAGTCTTCTGAACTTATAAATTGCACCTTCCATCGTCACCTAAAACAATGCACATCATATTATTGCAAATAAACATGGTTTCTTTCAACCTTAAGTGGATTAGATAAAGCTGAACAGTTTTCCTAGCTCTTCCTTTGCCTTAAGAGAGCGATAATATTGTGCAAACTTATCACACTCTGGGGCAACTTTTCCCTTGGCAACCATGCAGCTACACAAATAGATAAATAAATAGCACATTAAAATGCAATGCTAGATGAATAGACCTTCATATGATGCGCATATTCATAAACCAAGCTCAACTCACCGGTGATATTCAATATATCCAGAGAAGCAATGCCTCGTTTGATTTGTAGTTGAGAGTTGAAAATCTGCTGGTGCAGTCTCAAGCTGAAAATCAAACATGCAACCAAAGTACATGAGATAACAACCACATAAACATTGAATTAAAGCAATATGATTCAGATACCAGCCAGCAAACCAGAAACTGTTGATAAGTTTGTCAAAGACATACTCTACAATTGCCAATTAGAGTCATCATCAAAACCACCGTTCATCATCTTCCCAGTCACTTGATGGATAGTTGAAGCCCTATATATTTATATAAGCATCCCATCTAGCAGTTTATGGGCATCGTCCCGCCCAAACACAGGAAGCGTTGGAGGTAAGCTGAATTGCAGAACACGCAAATTAAAATATGTTCTGCTCCATAGTTCCTACATGTCACATGAAATTAATTGTAATCCTAGACTGGACCAGTTTAATAAATTTTAACACTATTAAGCTTGGATTCCTGTTCTAAATATTAAACTATCATGACTCTTCCAACAAAAAATATCCATGCATAAAAGAGACTTAGCAGTTCTATACTCAATACCCATATGCACAATGTAGAGCAAAGTAAGAAGTAAGCAAAAAATAGAAAGAGACTCAAATGTTCATAAAAGGGTGCCATAACCAAAACAGACCAAAACTGAAAAAAGGCCATTATCCAGTACTCATCTTACTCTTGTCAAAGCGTGGCCTGAGTACAGGTGAACAAGATATGCAAGATCTCAACCTTCACTTCACATCAAATTAGTTCCTAAATACAGCCTGGTATAATAAATCATTAAGATGAAGAAATATGTAAAGATTCCATCCCTTTTGCCTTGTACGAATGGTGGTATAACAATATCCAATATTGTGACAGAATAAAGGGTTTATCTGATTCCACCTTCTTGATTGCTTTAAAGTTGTGCTGCTAGGGTGTTTAGTGGTGAACTAATATTTGGTTCTGAATATCAGATAAACAACAGGGAAATAATATATACACATTTGAAGTTGATATGGGAAACAGGAAAATAAAAGAAAGTAAAAAGAGTTAACTGCAAGTAAACTTTGAATTGCAAGCAGTACAGCTCTCACGTCATAAGTAGAGGACCATTTATCCTGCAAAAATCCTTCAAGGTTATACTTTTATAAAATCAAATTATATCCAAAAAATGGCAAAAGTCATATCATGTAAGTAAATGAATGAACCATATTCTTCTCTGCATAAATTACCCGAAGAATGTCCAAGCAGATGTTGCCATGGACATTGGGATGGAAGCCGCCAGTCTCAAACTTGACCTTTCGAGTCTTAAATGGGTAATCCGTGGGAAATAAAAGGGAAAGCCTCTACTCCGTTCCTTCAAATACGGTGTCTTTGCTACTCATATGGTCCCTTTTCAGCAGAATATATTGTCCTCTTCAGGAATGCAGATATCCCAGAGTCTCCACTCATCTAAGTTTCAAAAGTCAAGAAATACTATGAGAGGAACCCAAAATCAAATATCGAAGCAAATTCCTCACACTTGAATAGATTCTTAGAATCTAAAAGAGGCTTAGAAAGATGAGTGATTTCTCTTCTTACCTTCAAGGCAATCAATTAGGCCTGCAACCTGTTGAATTGAGAAAACATCAAAGAAAAAAGATCAGAAACCCTACAAACTGTAAACAATTAAAGCAAAGGGAGAAATTAAATCAAGCTATGAGGATTGAGGACAATGCTAGGGATAATATGAAAGGACCAATTTTTCAGACCAATCAAAACTTGTGCACCCAGAAACAAAAGTACCCATTACAAAAGATTATCCATTGATCCAGACAAAGAAAAACCCAATCCTCAGAAAACCCAAACATTGTATTTTCAAATCTTAACTACCGAAGAAAAAAAATTGGAAAAACAAACATATAAGAATCTAAAACCCAAAACCCAAATCTGAAACAAACACATTAATTCAAAATAGAGACAACAGAACGAAACCCTTTTAAGAACAGACTCAGAATCTAAACTCTTAGCTGCGGGAACAGGTTTCTTGGATCCGGCGACAACCACTGAAGGGGCCACCGGTGATTTCCCCGGTACCCATTAACAGTGGCCTTGGCTTTCCCTTACATGACTCAAGAAACACAAAGATCAGGAATCTGTGGATGAGGGAAACAAAAAAGCAAGTGGGATTTGTTCAGGAAGACGAAAGAAGATAGGGGAGAGGTGTTCTTGTTCTCTTCTTCTTCCATGTGAAGCAGAAAGGTTTAGGTACGAAAATCAAAACTAAAATCATTTGACCGTTATAAGCGCGTTTTGCTTCATACAGTGTACAACAGCTAAAAGAGGAAAGAGTCCCTTTTCTGCCCCTCAAGACCTAACTGTATATATGTAGGCAAAGGTGTATACTTGAGCTCAGTCCTCCTCTCCTCTTCACCTGTTGAAGCTTTCTTGATTTCTTCCCCTTTTCTTTACTTCGGATGATTGATCAAAGCATGGAGCAGTCTTTGCCGTCGACGTCAAGTTTTAGGCTTCCAAATCCCTCATCTTCATGCTACGACGTTGGCTTTCGATTTGTTCCCACCGACGTCGAACTCTTGCATTGCCTCCGAACCAAGATTGTTTCTCCGAACTATGATAATCACTTGATTATGACCACTGATATTTACAAGCACGAACCCTGGTTTCTTCCCTGGGATCCAGTCGATAACGTCATCTTTCATGGCGACGAGCGTTATTTCTTTGTCCAAAGAAAACCCTTCTCTGGAAAGGATACGGGGACCAGGCCCAAGCGCACCATTGATTCCGAACAAGGCTGGTGGAACTCCAACACCGACGACAAACCCATCTACGATGAAGGAGGAAAGGTGCTGGGTTACGTCAAGTCTCTCACTTTCTTCCTCAAAGACGAAACCAAGAAGCGGAAGGCCGGTGATTCCAAGAATCGAAAAGAATGTGGGATAAAAACGGACTGGATCATGCACGAATACATGCTGGAATTAAATAAAGTCCGACAGTGGGTTCTTTGCCGTATTCATTACAACGGCAAGACCTCTTTATCCTTCTCATCATCACCACAGACACCGTCGCGGTGCAGCGGAGGACCTGATCCGTTGCAACCACCACCACAGGCGTCGCATTGCAGCGGAGGACCTGTTCCGATGCAATTACCAACACGGACGTCGCAGTGCAGCGGAGGACCTAATCCGATGCAACCACCGTCACAGGCGTTGCATTGCAGCGGACGACCTGACCCGTTGCAACCGCCAGCTTCAAAGCGAGTCAAGAGTAGTAGGCCTAAGGATCAAGACCCACAGGAATCACAGCTCCTTGAAGTTCAACAAGAGTCCCAACAGCAACAGGAGGAGAACTATGAACCAGTATTGGCTGGAGTTGATGGCGATGCAGAAGAAGATATAGGCAGTTGGATTGATTCACTTATTTTTGATATTGTTGAAGATTAATTGATATTATCCATGTACAAAAAAAGGAAAGAATTGAAGAACTACAATGATCCAGTTGTAAATCTTATGCTTGACATATATAGTAATTGAAGAACTGATCTTTTTGAATATTTTGTGTCGATATTCGTCTCTCTTATCTCTTTATTATATATTGTTTGTACAAGTCATATTTTAGTTTCTACTAAAATTGAAGAATATCTTTTGTAATCCCAGACTGAATAAGATTTATTAAGAGCATTTTGATACTTTATTAGCTGAAATTGCATTTCTTTTGTGCAGTCCAAACTGGAAAAAACAGTTCTCTTAAAATTTTCTGGACAAGTAGTTGTATAAGAAGTGCCGGTAATGAAGAAAAAAAGCACTCTTCCAAATTCATATTAGCTCAAAACAGAAAATTGCAGAGCCATTTAAGCTCTCTGATGGAAATGTTAACAACATCTGTACACAATGTTTAAAGACTTTACTATGAATGAGCTTAAAACGAAATATCCTTAGAACTTAGCATCTTCATCCAAGCTTGCAGCCATATGTAAACTGTTAGAGAAACCCTTGACAAAAAAATCACTTTAGGCAGCATTAACTGTAATTTTCACCAAAACTTTTGTGTATGAGATATGATACCCGCCTGTTTCAGCTCCCACTTCTAAAGAATTCTTGGATTAAGTTCCCATTGGCCAGTGCTGTAACCAAGTCTATCTTTTAAGGTTTAGCCAGGTGAACTAATCCATCTTTAGCTAGACCTGAATTCTATAAGTTGTCAGAAAAATTATCTTCAGCCAAGCTGCACACAATCATCAAAATATGTACTCTATCGACTGGTTTCTGATCCTTTGGTGGATGAGTGGGCATATGATCTCCATATCTCTCTCCATGGACGCCTACTACCAATCCTATCAAATGAATAACTTTCTGCACTGTAGATACTCTAGATGAGGACCCAGTGTTTATTTTATTTTATTTTATTTTTATATTGTTCTGTGCATTCCTTGTTTCTTCTTCAAGATCATATCGTAAGTGCTGCAGAAAAGACACATAAGAAAATTTAATTTCTATGGTTCATGATACTTGCACAAAGTTCTCATGTATAGTTTGATACTTGCCCATGGTTCCCTTCATGTTGTTTGCAAGTTTCTCATATATGATTTCAACATCAAATGTAAATATGAAATCTCCCTTTCAAGTATTTGGTGCACTCTGAAAATCTTGAAAAATGTATAGAGTGCAACCTTAGTTTTCTAATTGATTAATTGAAATTAATTTAAGCCGTGATTAATCACCTTCGTGCTCTACATAATTTGTTTGCTTCAAAATGAGATTTCCGTTATTCAGTTCAACATACATTAGAGTTGAATAAAAAAAAAAAAGTTTCAGACATTAGAGAACTGATATATTTCTACTATAGATGTGATTAGAAGCAATTTAGATCAAACTATGATCTCACATAATGTGATAATGATGTTTTATTTCGTAAACTGAAACTGGATTTGTCCTCACAGTAGATTGTCTGTGCTATATTGAATCTCTTAACAGGAAAAAAAAAAAAAGCGCAAGCTTATAGATCTTAATGTCATTGACCTGATCATCTATACGTCAATGACAGATCTTCTTACCACTCTTCCATTTCATGATTTTATGTCATAAACTCATCCTTCATTGTTAAATTGCTTAATTCTTGGTTATTGAAGATTTTTCTACATGCCAATAATTATTGTGTTGTTATCTTTATTCCTGCATGCCAATGGTAAATGTGTTGTCTACAAACCGAGGCACTTCCTCAACCCTGATTCAGGTTGCAATTGCGTCGTCTTTTGTTCAAATGCTGAAAAGAAATGGTGACCGTGGTCCCAGGGATATGTGCAGCTAGCACAAAATGACATCTGCTGCATCAACAAACAAACACATGTCAAGGTTCATTACTGCCCCTCATGTTTGGTTATAACATACAAAGCACATGTTACCTAAAATGACATGTTGGTATTAAGAGTGTTAACGGTTGAAGTGGCATGCTATGTTTCAGAAGAGGAAATTTCAAGAGCAATGAAATCCTTGTGGAACAGTATTTTCCCAAAGAAACTCAGAATCCTCAGAAGATAATAAACAAAATTTTTCTCTCTTCATGCCTTTGCAGGGATGAACAGCCAAAACCTGTTTGACATCTTAAGAAGTTTGAAATCATTTAATTAGTGCGCTGAAAAGAAACTGTACATTTTTGGTTAATATTTGTCTATTTTACCTACACGACTCTTTGTGCACCTTCTTCCCATCCCCCCCACATACACGTCCAAAACTTAGCCTACAAAATGGAAGAACTCCTCTCCTTCCATATTTATGGAAGGAAAAATTGGACCATTCCTCTTGCAAGATATAAGAAAAATGTTAGGTGGTGTTTTTCCAAGGTCTCAATCAATTCAAATGTCAGTTTAAATTTATTGACATTGCAATGGTTTGAACCTGTTTTCACAGTTTGCAGTACTGTATGAGGCCTGTCCAAATACTGGTGTTGATAGGAAGAAGATTATAAATTCAGTTGCAAAGTCTGTATCTAGCTGTCGTAGTTGATTGCTCCTTAGGTCGTGAATATTATATGTATCTTGTATCATGTTAGACTTAACTGTTTGTGCTGCTTGTTAAATATCCCAGCCAATTCGCTTCTTTTACATTACAAACCAAGATTAAGTTGATTATACCATTGCTTTTAATTGCCAGATTGTGTGCTTGATTGGTGTAGTCGAAAAGTATGAGGAGTTAGCAAAATTCAAACTGGTGCAGCTCACATCATCAAATTGATGTATCTTAATAGTCTAGCTGCCAGTCACATCCAATACTTCCTATAAAATACCATGTAATGTCATCTAATCTAGGAAAACGGCGAGTTATCCCTTGAATCTTGGGTTAGCTTGATAATTCTGATGGCTTTTTCCTTTATACAGATGGATTGGTTTAATCTGTTTATTCTTATGGTAAGGCTGGCTTGCTTCTGGTCCTTATATCTATTTTCAGCCAAGCTCATGGAAAAGTAATGGTTTCCCTTTTATGTGTGAGTTGTCTGCTTTCATCTTATTTTTCAACCGAGAGAGAGATCTTTGAAGTAATAGACTCTCATTAAAAAAAAGGAAAATCCTTGAAATTATGAGATAACATACAAATAGAAATGAAGCAAAAAACCGGCATCCCCAGAGTCCTGTTGGCCAAGAATCTGGTTTCTTGGCCTTGGGGTCTGGGTTCAAAGGCTGGTGAGAGGGATGAAGATCCAAATTCCAGAGATCAAAAAGAAATGAAGCAAAAAAAAAAAAAAAAGTATGCTGAACAAAATTGATATATCTTGCTCTTGTGTCAGTCCTAGAAGGAAGAAGAGGAAAAGTAGTCTCTCAACTCCTTAACCCCGCCTGCATCTCAAATTATGAATTAGGATTTGGGAGGCTTGTGCAACTTCTCAACCATCTTCCTATATTCTGCAAGAAAACAGAGGAAAACGAATTTAGACAATTTATTACAAAAGACAATATCCAATATTGTGACAGAACAAAGGGTTTATCTGATTTCTACCTTCTTGATTGTACAAAGTTGTGCTACTTGGGTGTTTAGTGGTGAACTAATGATTGGTTCTGAATATCAGATAAGCAACAGGGAAAAAATAAATAAACATTTGGAGTTGATATAGGAAGTTAGAAAAGAAAGAAAGGAAAAAGAGTTGTCTCCAAGTAAACTCAGAATTGAAAGCAATATGTTCCTCACACAATAAGCAGAGGACCATTTATCATGCAAAAATCCATCAAGGTTATACTTTTATAAGATCAAATTATATTAACAAACATGGCTGAAGTCATAGCCTGTAAGTCAATGAATGAACCATTCTTCTCTGCATAAATTGGCTGAAGAATGTCCAAGCAGATGTTGCCATAGACATCAACATTAGGATGGAAGCAGCCATTAGGATGGAAGCAGCCAGTCTCAAACTTGACCTTTGGAGGCTTAAATGGGTAATCAGTGGGAAATGAAAGGGAAAGCCTGTACCCTGTTGCATCAGATACAGTGTCTTTGCTACTGGTAACAGTCCCTTTTCAGCAGAATATATTGTCCTCTTCAGGGAATGCAGATATCCAAGAATCTCCACTCATATAATTTTCAAAAGTCAAAAAATACTTTGTGAGGAACCCAAAATCAAATATTGAAGCAAATTCCTCATATTTCAATACAGTAGTTAATAATGTCAGCGAGAAATGGTAGCCTTGCTTTCAACCATCCCATAACGTAGGGTTCTGCTTTGTTGAACAGCATCAGGTCACTGGCGAAATTAAATAATTTAACTATGTTTCCTTGCAGTGTTAGTGAAATTGAAAAGTAGAATTTAAGGTAGCCTTGTTAAAGAGCCTAGACAAATACTCCATCCCCAAAACAAATAGATAGGGCGAGATGTGATCTCCCTGTCTCAGCCCCCTTTGCCCTCTAAAATAACCTTGTGGAGTACCAATGATGAGTATAGAGAAATGAGCAGCAGATAGGAACTTCAGCATCCAGGACACAAACCTATCAGGAAAATTCAATCCTTTCAAGGTCT